TTAGGGTTTAGGGTTTGGGGTTTGGGGTTTGGTTGGAAACCCAATAGCCTCAATCCTTAAGAGTAATGTATGATGCATCCCAGCACTATTTGTCCTTAATCCGGTTTCCAACTTTTTGGGGTTTACTGTAGATTCAGGGCAGATTCAGTGGCGTGGGGATCTAATGGTTTATCTGATGGATTTGAACTGTTGGGGGTCTAGGGTTTAGAGGGTTTGGGGTTTAGGGTAAGTGATCTGGTTCGCTGGAGTTTTCGAGGGGCCTTAGTGCGTTCATGTTAATTTTGAGCGGACTTGCAAACACGAAGCAGGTTTCGTGCGGGATACCTTCCAGGCTACAACCCTTGAGCGCTACACTCCAACTCTTAAGCCTAGGTTGGCCGTAACCTATTGTGAAGTCTTATGATTGTGGGAGGGGGAGTGGCGTCATGAAGGTTTCGCTGCTTCCCTGGACTCGGAGTCTTCATCTTTGGGTTTCGTGCTTGGGATCCAGGGTTAAACTGCCAGCAAGTAGCATAAGCCTACTCAAGGCCTTGTCCAGCTTTCAAGAGGCTTTTTCGCTTCCAGACGGGTTCCTGAGTTTAGGCGTGTTAGACTCAGGCACTACGAGGTTGTTTAGGGTTTACACGTTCAATAGCATTCAGAAATATTCAGCACCTAAGCGGACGGGTAGTGGCATTAAGCACAGGGGGTTTAAGGGTTTGAGTTTCCCTAAACCCTAAACCCTAAACCCTAAAACCTAAACCCTAAACCCTAAACCCTATAAACCCTAAAACCTAGACCGGGTTTCTCTGAGGTTCAGGGCCTAGCATAATACCCTGGGCTCAGGGGTCTGAGGCTATCAACTATGAAGCCCGCAACCGCGAACCCCTAAACCGGACCAACCCGGTAAGTCTCATATACAGAATAGGGTTTGGGGCCCATTATACTATAATTATAGTAAGGACCCCCCCCCAAACACAAAAACAAAATATAATAATAATAATAATAGTAGCAATCATAGCATTGGTAATTAGGCCACTGCATTACAACCTTGAAACCGGACAGACTCCATAGCCTAAACCCTGAACCCACAACCCTACGCATAGCCCCGAACCTCACGAAAAGCAGGTTCTCACCCCTGAGGGTCATGCAGGTAACTGGGACGCTGCGTATGTGTGTGTGTGTGTGTGTGCGTGCGTGTCTACAACGTTCCCAAAAACGACATCAAGATTTTTGTCAAACCCCTAGCCCCAAATCCAAAACCGTGACCTAACAACCTCTAAAGTCTAAACCATACAGCTCCCTAATAGAAGCCCGGCATCAGACCCTTCGAGCACTCCTCGATTACTCCAGGTGTTGGGTACCCGAACCGAACCCTCGACCTGTTACCACTGCTATCACCCCAGGTTTAGGGTTTAGGGTTTGGGGTTGAGGGTTTAGGGTTTTGGGTTTGGGGTTTTAGGGTTTAGGGTCCATAGCCCCAGACCCTCAGCCCCCCTGACCTCTATAACCCCAGGTGTAGGTAACCTTTCAGGCTGTTGCAGCTGCAGTGTCGGCGGAAATCGAGCGGGCCGGGGGCTCCATACACCGGGTCAGAGATGTGTGTTTGGAAATGAATGTGTGTTTGGTAATGAGCGTTGTTATAGACTCACAGAGTTTCGTAGGGTTTTGGTAGGTCTCTACTACGGCTGTATAGGCTAATTTAGTGTTTTTTTCGGGAGGTGTTCTGTTTTTTGCCTGAACTTTTGTGTTGGTTTTGAGATTTGATCGGCGTAGTTTGTTGGTTTGCGATTTTCAGGTTTGCGGTGTGGGGTTATTTTGTGGATTTGTTGTTGGGTTTCTTGATAGATGTTGGGGAATGGGGTGCTTGTCAGGTTTGAGGTTTGGGGTCATAGTTGTTTGCATTCTTGGATATAGGGCTTTGAGCCGATGGCTTGGTGGAGGTGCAGGAATTTACGTTTGTTCCGCCAAACGTCATGGGGTCGATATGTTAAAAGACGAATGCTAAAGAGTTGAGCGATTGTAAAACACTAAACCCTAAACCCCGAACCCTAAACCCTCAAGAACAGGAT